AGGCTTCAAACTTTCCTTTTTGCTAAAGCATATAGTTAGGGCTGGACCAGGTGACCCTGAATCCTCCCTTAGTTATGCTGCAATAGGTGTAGGCTGCTGGAGGATTCCCATGATGCACTGGGCGTTTCTTCTTTCTTCACACTTATTAATCCCCAGCTCTCTTCCACAGCATGTCTTTAGATATGTCCCAATTCCTCGGCCGCATCCTTTGGAGGCCGCATTTGAAGGCCGATTACGTCACAACCAGGAAATGAAGGGTGCTCCAAATGCGTCCTTTATTTCCCCAGATTTGAAGGATGGGTCGGGTGTATTGTTCGTGGTCCACCATATCCCAGAATTCCTAGCGCGGCCCCGTCAATTCCAGTTTCCAAATATGGCAGAAGCAACTTATTCTTATTACTCTTTGAAATATTTTATTAATTCAATTATTATTTATAATATTTGTATAATAATATAAAATACTTTTCAAATGCGGCAATGGAGTATATGTGCTCGGTTTATCAAGACATCACATATTTGTAAAAGTGCTCTGATGTGTTTGGAGACGTCTGTTACCCACCAGCTCGATAGTTAGCCGGGAGCTCGAGGGTCACTGAAGCCGGCGAGTGCAGCGGACTCCCGGCACATCATTTCAGATCCCCATGGTCTTCACTACTTAGGTTAAACATGATATATAAGTCACTATGATAACTTATAAATGTACATTTTTGGCTTTTTTCAATGTTTCATTTGTTCCTGAGTAAATCGGTTTGGCTGAGATTAAAGTTTTAGTTTTCACACAGTTGAATAAACGTCAACCTGATTAAACAGAAGTGTGAGATGGTCGAGAGTTTACTCCTGTTATATTTATAGTGTCCTGTTATATTTTAAATAACAAGGAGCAGACAGCCGAGTTTATTAAACTCCACCGAGACAGCGGTGACGCAAAACTGAAGGCTCGACCGTCCAATTTCACAGCCAATTTCACCGGCCTTCAGAGAACCTGGCCTATGTGGGCCGGGTTCTCTGAAGGCCGGCTTAGGAATTGGGACATGTCTTTATCCTGTCTGCCTCCCCTCACCCCAACCAGTCACAGCAGATGGCCCCGCCCCTCCCTGAGCCCGGTTTTGAGGTTTCTTCCAGTTAAGTTTTTCCTCCTTACTGTCACCAAATGCTTGCTCAAAGGTCAACGTCTGATTGTTAGTGTTTTCTCTGTATAACAGGATCTTTCATTGGGACAACTGCTGTGATTTGTTGCTGTATAAATAAAATTGAACTGAACTGAAGTGAAAGTATTGTGGCTCTAGAGTAAACTTTCTTTTCCAGCAGAAGAGCCTGTATGTGGTTTACACTGGGCTGCACCTGAATGCAGCACGGTTAGTTTTTAAGACGGCGTGTGTCCCTAGGGACGCTGGAAACAATAGTTGTGTTTTTCATAGGAGTCCAGTTCAGGACAGAAGTCACATATCAACACACACACACACAGTTTCTGACACACATCTGAAGGTGTGGAGGGTGAAACTGCAGTGTTGTCACATTTCCTGCTGGACAGGAAACTAATGGAGGACAGGAAGGCGCACAGACACAAACACACTGTTTTTAATTCGCCTCTGAAAGGAAGAGAAGAAGAACAAATTGGATCATTTCTGCCTCGTTCTTTCAGTTCTCCTCCCCCCCACATCTGTCTCTTTCTTTATGTCCTTTCTTCTCCTCTCTGTCGTTGACGTTCCATCTCCAATCACATTTCACCACGCTCGAGTCGCAGGACTTGTTGTGTGTGTGTGTGAGACAGTAATCTGATTACAGCTGCAGGTCGCCGCCGGCAACACCTTTTGTCCTGTGATGCGCGTATCCTACATACGTGTGTGTTTGAATCTGTGTGTGCATGCCTGAAGGCCAACACACACTCTGGTGTCAGAGACAAAGTTAAATATAAACACGCAGACCTTAAATCGTATCTCGGAGCAGCATCTGTTCAATCTGATGGATTTCACATCAGACATCATGTCGATTAACACAGCGCAAATCACACACACACACGCCTCGCCCCTACACAAAAGGAAAAACAGATCTCGCTTCAGCTGAAAAGATCCATTTTCCTCCTTTCAGGTTCCTCTTTCTTCGCCCCCACTCAAACACAAGAGTCACGTTCGAGTGACTGATCTGCAGCGTTCGCAGCGCTCTCTCGCTGCTTGCACAGAAAACACGGCCACTCGCTGAAGTGGCGACGAGCACGTGCAGGTGCTTCCGTGAGATTCTTTTCAGACATCTAGCAAACCAAAGAAAGCTGAAGTGGAGCTGGAACTGCTCTTGCTGAGCAAACGCAGGCAGGAATAAACAGCTGACATACACCTCCAACAGCTTCACTGGGTTTCATCCACCCAGTCATCACACAGCAGTGGCAGCACGGTTGCCTCACAGTTTAATTCCACCATCAGGTCTTTCTGTGTGGAGTTTGCACGTTCCTCCTGTGTTTGCGTGGGTTCTCTCCCAGTCGTTGTCTGTCTCTATGTGCTAGCCCTGTGACAGACGGGGGCCTGTCCAGGTCCTACCCTGGGGCTGAATAGGCTCCCGTCGCGCCCCTACATGGAGGGTTGGTGACGTCGGGCTGCTGTCTGGTGGTTAGCTACAGAGGTGGGGTGAGGTTAAACTGTTCTCACTTAATGCTGAGGGTTCCTGATGGGTGGAGAGAAACGCCGTCATACGGACCAAACTCCATCCAAAGAAGGTCTGAGAGGATACACTCACAGCTCGAAGCCGACATTCATGTTTGGATGACTTCAAATCGCAACAACAGTCGCTTTGTAGTGTAAGGAAGACCCTACACTGATCCTCGGCTTCATGGCTCAGATATGTGGAGTCAGCGAGCGTACGAGCTGCACTTACACTAACTGCAGAACCAAAAGCCACGCCCACTGCCAAAGCCTACTCCACGCTCGTTAACACAAGCAGTACATCAGTAGATACGCACAAGCGTCGAGGCCACCAGCTACCCAGCATGCAACACTTTGTGTGTCTCTGCACGCGGGGCTGCTGCAGTATCACGGAAAGACTCACTGTGATTATTTCACAATGACACTTGTGTTTTTCATCTTTTTTTTAGCAAATTATTCAGAATTAAAATGAGTAAAAATCATTATTTATACAGCACCAAATCACAACAGCAGTCACCTCGAGGCACTTTATATTGTACAGTAGATCCTACAATAATAGACCAACAATCATATGACCCCCTATGAGCAAGCACTTTGGCGACAGTGGGAAGGAAAAACTCCCTTTTAACAGGAAGAAACCTCCGGCAGAAC